TTAGATAGCGCTCGGTTCAGGGTCATAAGTGATAACCGCCGGGTTTAGGGTACCCCTTTTCTTATCTCGTTCATATCTGATGCCATCCGGGGCGGTTATAAACCGCCCTTTGGAAGATGGCGAGATTCAAATTATTGATTCTCCGCCGCTTCCGCCTCCCCCTCCGGCCCATGTAGTGCGCTGCATGCGCCACCCTATGCAGCAAACACTGCACAACTACGGGCGCTTGGAGCTGCGAAGACAAGACGGCTCACGAGTTCAGGTTTCAGGAGCGGAAGCCGTTCCTGAGTTGCCCTTTGCGTGCAGGTTTTTTATTCGGGCGAATACAGGCCAGAGACGGCCACGAATATGGCAAGTATGAAGCTTTGCTGCGCCAGGCTCGCCAAGTCAGCACTTCTTACTGGTCCATGCAGAAGTGGAAAGCTGCAGGGCGAGATCCTACTGAGCATGAAGGTTCTTTGGAGGTGCCCGCCAGTGCAAGTGTCCAGCGAGAGCTGAAGCCCGAGCCAGCTCCAACAACTTGCGAGGACAGTGCTGTCGTAGATATAGAAGCAATGCCAAATCCGAAGCGAAGGAGGTCAGACGGTAGTAGAAAGTTGACGCGCGGCGCCGCTACTCCCCACTCGAACAGCGCGATGCATTGGACTTTGCAACGAATTCGACAGGACTTTGAGAAGGCCGGACTTTTCGGCCCGCTTGAAGAAGCGGCTCAGGTGACTGCTGTGCCTTACACACCGTTCTACCGATGGAGCAAGAAGCAGGAGGGCAAGATCCGCGAGCAGGCAGCAGAGCTCGACATCCAAAGGCTGGTTAGTCATCGCAAAGGCTTTATAGTTCGAATAGCAAAGCGCCACTCGAAGTCCAAAGTTGCAAATGCACATTAATTTTGAAGGGACCAGGTAGTTATAAGTCATTTAGCACATAATTTCGTAGAATCTATAATCTAAACTAAAAAAACATAGAGGTGCAAGTATAATTACAAATAGTGTGCTAGTACAGTTTAGGCTATAAGTTGCACCTTCACAAAACGTGAACCGCAACAGCCTACCAGGCATGGCTTTGAGAAGTTTGAGGCTGAGGCCGAGGTTTTGGAGCAAGTCCAAGAGAAGCAGCCGGGAAATTCCCACTACCACGTTTGCTTTCGAGGAGGAGCGCCAGACCGGCAAGATCCAGATTTCGGAGTCGCAGGACGGAGAAATCCACCAAGAGGCCTTCGAAATACAAAAATTTGAAGCCTTCAGCTTTATAAACCTGAGTACGACACCCTACTTGGAGGATCATGAGATTTGGTCAGTCAGGTTGTAAGTACACTAATTGGGGCTAGACGTAATTAGAAGTATATTAACCCTAGCAATAATCCCACTTAGTTATTGAGTCCCATGATCCTAGAAGTAGGCCTTTAAGATCCCTGTAGGTTTGCTACGCTTCACTTGGTCCTCAACGGCGATTGCAATGCACCATTGCTTCGCCCGGCTCTCATTCTCCGTGGTGGAGGAAATGTCGCGAAGAAGGAAAGCCACTTGTACCATCCGGGAGTTGCTGTGTTCTTCCTAGACAACACATGCTTGGATACTACCACATGTCAGCAATTTCTGGAAACAGAGTTTGTGGAATACAAGAAGTCACTCGTGGACGACAAGCCAGGCCTACTGTTGTGCGACAATCTCAACGCCCAAAAACACGTAGAGATTATTATTTCCTTTTTAAAGGATGCTGCCAACATCAACGTATTTTACGGGCCTCCAGAAGAAATAAATCATTGGTAACCCATCGATGCCAGATGGGGGGGCCCTGTGGAAGCAATGTTTGGTTGCAGCGCTGGAATCTTGGCTGGAAGAAAGTCTGGAATATGAATAAAAGTGGGAGGAGGTCAAATTTTTATGCAGGATTAACGGGACCTTGTGATTCAGCTGGTCGGCTCAGTGTACAACCTCCTAGACACCGACAAGTATAAGGATATGGGCTCCATACAACCTCGCGGCTCCCTTATAGACTAACCCCTTAAGCCCCAAACCTTCAAATACGGGGTAAAGTGGGCATGCTTGGGTGGTCCTTCCTTGTGCAAAAACACAGTTGGATTTTTAGATATCCGACACAGGAAGCTCGAGGGCGGTACTGGCTCAAAAAGGGGTGTGCTATCGCAAGAGACGCTCGTCACGACGGAGATATCAATTTGCAAGGCTTACCTACATATCGTCCCTACGAATCAGGGACAGTTTTGGGATCTTTATGGAAACAACAAGCGGCCAAGATGCGATCGGGTGCCTATGCATTCCAGCCGCCTCTAGACCAGCCGGGCAGCGGCTCTAGCTCCAGCTCAGACTCCTCCGGTTCGGATTCAAGCTCCAGCTCAGACTCGCCTCAGCAGCCTTCCAGCAGCGCCGCGAAACCTGGCCCTGCAGCGGCCAAAGCCACAGCGAAAGCGAAAACCAAAGCAAAGTCGGCCCCAAAAGGCAAAGCGAAGCAGAAGGCGAAGGCGAAAGCAAAGGCGAAGACAAGATCAAAAGATCCAGAGATTGTTGGCGCTTCTAGTTCCGGCATCAAGCAGCCGTGTATGTGCCATGCATCTTGGCTCGGCAAAATCATATATCTGTCCGAAGAAGCTGCTTTGGAATATGCTCTCGAAGGCATCAGTAGTATTATGGAAGCATTCGAAAATTGCGTGCTCATTGTGCTCACTGGCTCGGGCATCAAGAAATTGCCGGCAGAGTGTCTGTCGTTGGAGCCGTGCTTCTGAGGATTCTGAAGTCCTTGTAAATATTTTGAAAGCCTAAGCCCCAAATCCGAAGCCCCAAATCTATCGTGTCGTTGTCTTGAGAGCCTAAGCCTAAGGTCCCAAATCCAAATCTGTTGTGTTGTGATCTTAAAAGCCTAAGCCCGAAGCCCCAAATGTGAGTTGTGAAAGCTATCTTGAAAGCCTAAGTCCGAAGCCCCAAGCGTGTTGTGAAGCTATCTTGAAAGCCTAAGCCCGAAGCCGCCCCAAGCCCCAAATTCCCTGTGCTACCAATGCGAAGGCCGGCCAAGATAAGGGTTCAGGGTTTGATTTCGGGGGTTCGGCTAAGTTTTGAGATTCTAAATCTAAGTATAGTGCTCATTCCTATATCTTTTTATCTGAAATTTTAAATCCCGAAGCCCTGAGCCCAAATTTCAAAGTAATACAACGTGTTTAGGGTCTTGCTTTCTAGTTTTGGGAGCAGCATCTAAGCAATTGGATAAGAAATTGGGTTTCGGGGGTAGGAGACCCTGAATTTCTTATTTCTTTTTGCTTGCTTTCCGTAGATTTTAATACAGGCCCGTATAAATTCAGGGGCTGGTTTCTTAATTCAATATTTTCTTATTCAGTGCTAGCGCTGTAGACTAATAATTAAAATTGCTTTCGAATATTTTCTAAATTCCTGATGAACATTAATGATATCTTATAATTCTTATTCTAGCCAAATAGAAAGCCGCAAAATTTCAACCATATAGCATAGGACAGAATGAAAAACTAATAAATTTATTATGAATCGAATTTTAAAAATATAGAACCATGCACATTGTAGACTATTTCATATATCTTCGAAAGATTAAAAATCAAAGTTGCACTGGTACTATATCAACAAGCAGTGGCCAGAAGCAAGAACGAAATTTTGGAGGTTTTCTACGACGGCTTTGCGGTGGTCGCCTGGCATGGCGAATGCTTTTGGTGGTTAAGGGCATGGGGCTTATGCTCTGCGATTTCGAAGGTCGAGGTTCCATAGTCCCAACAGCTGAACACCAGTGCCAGGGGCTGGTGGACGCGGCAATACAGTTCGCTTGTGTTTCGACACGAGCTGGAGGGAGACCACAAGCAAAGTGGGATGCAGGCAGGATGCTTCCGTCACAAAGTGTTGCCCATGACAACACGTAATTCTACATCAACAGAGTCTGGTTCAGGGTTTTTGAAAATGGAGCAGGAGCCTTTAGCGAAACAACAACAACAACATCCCAATCAGACCTAAAAGACCTATAAAAAACACGGAATTCAGGCCTCGGGGTGGCGGCGGAACAACTACTAATCTGCTATAGGGGCCTCAATACCATACCAATGGTTTTTTCGGGTTCCTTGTTATAAGTATAGTATAAGGCGCCCCGAAACCCTGTTCGAGTTACTAAGGCACTAAAGTCCCTATATTACGCAACCAAGCCTCAATCTTCCGGGCCCTCAGCGAACGCAAACCCGAATCCAGCGATTACGGAATTGAAAAGCCAGGCTTTAAGACTCCGCACCCCAAAAACGAAACACGAGCTACACACACACACACAGAAAACAAGTGAGGCTAGTACAACCGGCAAGCTCTGAATAATAAAATTTACGAGAGTGGCTTAATGCTTCGACTTTCGCACTGTCTCAAAATCTGTCACACTGGCACCGGAACCACGCGTAACTGCCCAACTACCCGACAGGTTACAGCTGTCAAGTGTTAAACTGCAACATTTAAGCTTTAAGCCTCAACCCTGAACTCCACACCCTAAACGCCCAAACCCTAAACGCTGAACTCCCCGGCCCCCAAACCCTACGGAACCCTCATAAGCCCCTAAATCCCATGGCCTCTTTCGCGGCCGCCTCTGCAGCCGCCGCCACCGCGAAGGCGGCAGCGGCGCGCATGGCTTGGACTCCACCGGAGGCCTGGTTAGACAGGGTTTAGGGTTTAGGGTTCAGGGCTTGGGGGGTTGAAACTTCAGGGGGTTCGCTGCAGAATTGTATAGAGATTTGGGTTTAGGGGTTTTTTAAGGGTTCTTGTTTCCACCGCCCAGCTGCCCAGCTGAGAGAGTCACACCGCAGGGAATCATAATCCGACTGAGTCAGCTGAAGACTGTTGGCTGCGAGCCCTGGCTACCTCACACTCCTGCTGATAAAGGAGCCAGCCACAGTCAACAAAACGATAATATAGGGGCCTCAATAATTATAAGGAACCTCCAAAACATCCCAAAACCCTATTCCAATTATTAAGGCCCCCCTACAACATGCGTGAAAGCAAGGACGCCGAAGCCACCTCAAAGAATCGACAGTTTTGGCTTTACGCTTGGCAATTTGGACAAGCCAGATCAAGTCTCGGTTCGCAGCCGGCCTATGAATAGGTCGGGGGGGAGGCAGCTCGGGGTTCAGGGTTTAGGGGTTTGAGGGTCATAGAGCTTAAATTAAAGCGGGTTTAGGGTTTAGGGGTTTAGGGTTTAGGGTTTAAGTTTATAGGGTCAGAGCCAAGCCCTAATATTAACCTTTTCTTTCGGGTCAGGATACACATTCATTACAATAACCTTTGCAGGAATGTTCTACCGAGCCAGTGTAGAAACCCCTGTGGCAACCCCGAAAGGAACCCCTGTACAACCTTTTAAGGAAACTTCATAAACCCGTATAGCAACCTTCAACGAACACTTTCTGAACAAGCCTGAAGCCCTAAACCCATAAAAACCCTTGACCCTTAACTCCTGTAGAGCCCTTGAGTTCGTGAAGATTCGTATATACATGAAAACAGAGTCCCTCTGAGCTCAATGCTCCAGATCTTCCTCGTGAAGCTTGCGACGCCTGCATGCTGAAGGCCAATGTCACCTTCAGCCGCTGCTGGGTTTCGGGTTTTTTCCCGCCCGCCCAGCTGACAAAGTCGCACCGCAAGGAGTTCGTTGGACTACGGGAAAAGTTCAGAGGGGAGGGTTTAAGGTTTAGGGGGTTCTTCGGGGATTTCTTACTGTTTAATTCCTTGCGGTCGGAGATTCAGGATGTCAGGGGTTAGGGGGCCTTTGGGGTATCTTACGTGCAGATGATGCAGAGCTTCTTGAAGGATCAAGTAGGCTCAAAACGAAGGCTATAAGTAACTCCCTCTGGCAGCTTCACTAGCAAACTTAAACTACATGCTATCGGGTGGTGCCCTTCACCCACACCGGCAAGTGAAGACTGGGACAAGGGAAGTGAGGATGATGGGCAACTTTTCAGGCCCCTATATTACCACTTCGCATCAAATCTGCCAACAATCAGCCAACCAAAACCTTCAAAGTTGAGTGTGCCCGGTCACAACCATGTGCTGCGCTTCTCGTCTACCGACGCGGATCACCGTAAACCCACCGTAGACCTTAAATGCCGTAACGGCCTGGAAAGGCTTTAAGGGAGCGTCAAATTCAAAAGTCCTCGGTGCCGCGGAGCACAAGTCTTGGCATGGGCTCTCCGGCGGATCTGCAAAAGGCACCCTGGCGCCTAGCGCTTTAGGCACCCCGATGCCGCGGTGAGGCATGCGTCAATAAACTTGTTCGGCCGCTTTTCCAAGGTATTCCAAGGTGCTCGCTGAGCAGCATCACCCATCAACTGGAGCGCGCGTGCAGCACAGCTCGGACGGTCATACAGCGCGCTGTGGAACGTGGGGCTCGCACGACTTTCAGTAAGACGCACTTCGGACTGAAAAACGGACATGCCATTCACCAGAACGGTCTTATCGGGGAAGCGAAGCATGCATGCCTCGGAATTTGTGTGAAGAAAAGTTGTCTCGCCATCTGTCTTTGCCTCAAGCTTCTCCAGGCCAGAAGCGCAACTAGCCGCACTCGCGCACAGTCTGGAGCCTCCTCCTCTTCCCGGTCTTGGTAAGTCTCTGGATAAGCACGCTCCCGCACCTCGGATTCTTGATTTGCCTAAGCCAGAGAACAGAGAACTGGGAGAACCATCGCCGCAAGCGAGGCAGGACATACGGCTGCTCACGTTGCTTGTCGCTTTGCCGCCGTCAGCCACCGCAAGCACTTGGCACTTCCCGGAGCCACGTCGACTTACACGTTCGCAGCAAACGGTCTCGCCATTGCGACGAGCGCGCGCGCGTGCTCACGCACGTATCGGCGAAGCCGACAACTCCGGGCCCGCGTCCACAAAAACCGACACCATCTCCCGTCCCTGGGACGAGCACGCACTCGTCGTGCGGTTAGGCAGGGTTTGTTTCGGCTCCCACATCGCTTGTTCGCAAACCAAGCAAGCACGGCAGGTTTACCAGGCGTCGCACTTGTTACCAGAGAGAGGAAAAGGAAGAGGCGTTTCTCTCCCACGTGACACATCCCTCACATGCTCCGCTGGGGGTCTGGGATTTTAGGCTTCAAATCCTAGCTTATGCCCCCAAAACCTGATCCAGACTCCTCGAATGCCTCGTGCTACTACTACTTAAGACTACACACCCGCCTGCTACCATGTACGATGAAGACCATCTAATCTTTGCTTGAAGGACCCCTTCATGACCACTATAACCGTCAGACTGATACAATCAAAAAACCCATGTGACACACAGCTCGAATCTGCCTCCGCCTTCAACTGCTTCACGATCTGGCAGTGGAAGGTAAGGGCAGACTTTTTTTGGGGAGCGGGGTCGTGATTACAGTGGGGATCTCCATGCTTAGGAATCTATATATATATATATATATATCTATCTCACTGTTCCCTACAGAAACTCTCAACTGGGATTCGAGCAGGGCATCGAGCTCTGCAAAAACCAAGTGGACAAGCTGCCCGAAAGCAAGGTGGTTCCTTCCTAGCCTGGCTTGCGTTAACGCTCTTGACTCAAACGGTGTACCGGCATGATAGTCCCCGGAGTCTGATGACCAGGCGGACTAGTGAAGAATTTAGCATTCTTACGCGGCGCGATGTCTCTACAGAAGCACTTCTTGATCGAGGCTTGGATAAGGGCCTCACCATTCGAGCAGACCTTGCAGCACAGCAGGCCTCAAATTCAATCCTCGACGGTATCGACAAAGACACGCTTCAGCATTTAGCTTTAGTTGGATCACTAGTAGCTCTTGTGCTCTTGATTACACAAGTATACCTCCTGGATCGCTCGATCTCTTCAGCTCTTTTGAACTGCTGCTATTGTGCCCACTGAGGCCTACTTGTTTCCCGATAAGCCCGGTATTCTACATTCCCTGAGGAGACTATACACTTACAACTGCCTGACCGCTGTGCCCCCGACATCACGAAATCCGCCCTAAACTAGGCTTAAAGTCTTGAGGGCCTGAGACTCCTGAGGTTCGTTTGCACCGTAGACCATGTATGGTACCGCAAGGACAGCAAGAGCTGTTGATGCTCATCTAACCTCATGCGAGGTGAAGCCACGTAACTGTGACAATCGGCCAGGCTCTGAAGAGGACGCATCCTGAGGCTCTGCAACAAAACAACACATCCGTTCAGTGAGGTAACAGAACGAATTATTATACCCCTCAAGCCTAAACATCCCTAAGCCCAAAACCCCAAACCCTAAGCCCAAAAACCCTAAACCTCGCCCGCGCTCGTGTAATGGCCTTTTCAAGTCGCTCACGCGAAGCAGCTTCGAGGGTGCTACCCTCACCTCGGAGTGCGGCTAGAGCTGGGTTTCATGCTTACTGTCCCAATAATAAACCTAAGTTATGTCCCAACAACATTTCAACACGAGCCGTATATACGCTGAAAAGCCCTACCTCACATCAAGAACAACATGGCGTGGCCAGAACAGATACCTAGCAAGGAGAAGGCGCACAGTAAAATCTCGTGTGCTTACGGGCTGGGGGCTGGGCTGGGGGCTGGGCTGGGCTGGGCTGTGGGCTGGGGGCTGGGGGCTGGGGGCTGGGGGCTGGGGGCTGGGGGCTGGGGGCTGGGGGCTGGGGTGGGCTGGCATGGGCAACAGTACCTGCAACGGTACCAGCAGGAGTAGTAGTTACCCGGTGGGAGTACAAGTCGCCAACAGCAGAATCAGTCGTCGTCGTGAACGTCCTCGTCGCACTAGGAGTAGGAGGTGTAAAGTATGTGTGCGTAGCAGCCATTGTGGTCGCAGCAATGGTGTTGGTAGATAGTACTCCGCGGCCGATGAACAGAAACCCTGCGTGAAGCACGAAGCCCTACCTCCTAAGGCTTGCATTGCTCTTGAGGTTCCAAGGCAACTCACCCCTCGCCTGCTATGCAATCCCAGGATATCCCAGGCCTGGTGAGCCGCTCCAGGTTCACCGAACGAAAAGTGCAGAAATCACTATCCATCGCACGTCCCAAATTTTTGCCTAACAACCCTGAAAGCAACACCCAAAGCGTCAAAAATCCAAAAGAACCCCAAAATCCTAAACCCGAGAGGACCCGAAGTGGGCACCGGGTACCGAGCCTTCGAGCAAATCGAGGTTTGGGGGCCTCGCAGCCACCTGGATCGTTTGTTTTGGGAATTCTTACAAAAGGGCGTGGAAAGGTTTTCTATGATAATGAGTCAATAATGAGTAATAGGGCCTGTTGATGTGATTCGTAATCCGTCAGGGTTTGTGCGAGCATGTGGGAGCTGTTTTGTCTATCGCCCCTGGCGTGTTTCTTCTGTGTTGTCCAGCTTTCAAGATGCTCTCCCCTCTTCCTGAAGTCATGCCATAACTTCCCAACAGGTCTGGGTTTCGGTTTCGGGTTGAGGTTTAAGGGCCAACAACTCATAAGTTTCAGACCTTAAGAATTTGTCAACTCGGCGCGCCCAACACCACTTGAAGAAGCTCAGAGGGGGACTTAGTAAGCGTGTTTTTCCTCTACTTCTCCACCCATGAACCCTAAACCATCATGAAAGCCTTGTATAAAGCGCTTCGAAACCCTCTTGGGAGGTTTACAAAGGTTCAAGAAGTTTTTACGACAATCCTTCACCTCGAGAAACCAATGTAGCGGAACCCTACTACCAAGTTTTCAGAACTTTGTAAACCCTACGCCCCCAGCTTTCACACAAGGTATCTTACACACTCAGTTTGCCCTCGAGGGCGCTTGCCCCGACCCCGCAAATTAATCGCATCCTTAAGATACGGGCCCCGGTGTCATGTCTAATTTCAACGATACCTTGTTTAAGGAATCGTCTGCTTACCTGCACCATCATTTCCGGAAGCGCACTCGAAGGCATGAGCATTCGGGGCTGCGCGAAACCTAGGACTCCATGTAAGACCTCACAGGGTTCACGCTTCAGAACTTGGGCCTTAGGCTTCGGGCATTTGGGGAGTTTATGCAGTGTCTAGGAATGGCCCAAGTGTAGCTTCACATGTTATCTCAGGACTTGAGGATCCGGAGGTTTCCCTCAGCCCCAAACTCTGAGGCTGAAGCCCAAGACTTTGCCCTACCTTGAACTACCATAACCTACTTTTTTGTAGGTCCTTATTATAAACCCTACCCAATATAGAATTTACAGGGACCCTACGAAAAAGGTAGGTTTCGGTAGGTTAAGGTACACTTTACCTACCTTCCCTCCCCTTCCGACAAGGCCTCACGGTCGGACTCCAAGCGCACCTGGCAAACTGGTGACGCTGAACGCTCTTATCCTTCAGTGCTAGTGAAGAGAGGCAAGGATGGGTTTGTTCGGCCTTAAACGCCCTTATCCTGCTGCCGACCAGTCGAAAGCAGAGTTTCCGCTGGACGTTGGGGATGCTTTTTAAAGGCACGCGCAAACTCCGGCCTCAAACAGCACAACCGCTACACCCAACATCACGCCCACACCTGCAGAAACGAAATTACCGTCTTGCCCATTGTTTCTGTCGTCACTGACACATCAACCGCATCATCCTGATAGACGTGAGCAAGGATGGGGCTCCGCAGCTCGGCGTACGCGTGAGCTCATATTGTTAAGTAGATACTCACTCCTCCTGGGAATTTATGGTTGCAAGGCTTCGACGCTCTAGACCCTAAACCCCCGAAGCCCTAATTAAGCCATCATGAGCCTTCAGCGTCCCTGGGACGTGCTGCGCTGGGGGCTGCGACAGCTCAGGCGGAGCGACCTGCAGGCGTGACCCTAAAAAAAAAGCACCGAAGCTCTGCAGCCCCGAAGCCTCAAACGAGCACCATGAATCCCCAGGCACCCGCAATTTAAGCGTCAAAGCCAGGGCCTGAAGCTCCTAAACCCAAAGTCAGTACACCCCGAGGATACGACGAAGGCGACGAGCAACACCTATGAAAAAGACGACGACCACTTCACCACCGTAACCACCACCGGCACCACCAAACCACCACCACCACCCCCGCCTCCTCCACTACCCCCAGCACCCCACCAATCCCACAATCCGCTTCGAGTACGACATCGACGACGACGATCCGATGCCTGATGCCGGGGTTAAGGTTGGGCCAGCAGGACCTGGCCTTCAGCCTTTTTTTTTTTTTTTTT